TTTTTTAAAAAGTTTTTAATACTTTTATTACTCATGTAAACTATGATCCAGTGTCGTTTTTTAAAAAGTTTTCAATACTTTTATTACTCATGTAAACTATGATCCAGTGTCGTTTTTTAAAAAGTTTTCAATACTTTTATTACACGTGATATGGTAGCTAGGACGCACTGCTGAGTGAGAAGGTATAATAACTACCTTTGTCACATTTGGTGTAGCAGCTAGAACAGTTGCATTACTTTAATAAAATGTACTGAATGTCTAATCTACGAGACACAAGAAAAATGTTATTTTTTAACCAAAGTGTTACTGTTACTTGGTGCTGTTTTACTGTTTTTGTATAATTATTTTTATTATTATAATTTATTCATTTGATTGATGCCTTTATCCAAAGTGTATATTTAATTAATTAATAAGTTTTGTTTTTAAAAAATGTGACTGATAATAACACACCCTCTCTTGTAACTTTCTGACATAGTTGAAGGTTTGTATTTCTTTTCTAATCAAACTGCTAGTGTTACTCTGTTCTGTTTTGTGGTTTATTTATTATTATGTTTATGTTAAATAGAATTTGGTATGGTGTCTGTTAAATAAAGTTTTATTTTGCCTAAATTGGCTGCAGTAGAGTGATCTTACAATGTCAGTTTATTGAATGTAACTATATAAGTATCGCACATAGCATCAAATATGTGCATTAGAACATGCATTTTTGTATTTGTATTTAAAATATCAAAACATAGTTACTGTTCTACATAACATAACTTATTTTAAAATTGCATGTAAATGTTTCATTTCTTTTTTATGGATTACCTGTAAAATGAAAGGGATTTTCAGTAAAATATAAACTAGTAGTTATGGTGATGTCATCAATAAATTATGCAAATTAGTACTGTGGGAAGTTTGAACCTTCATTCAGTAATATGTTCTGAACCTTCAAAAGTCAAAATTTACTCTTTATTACAACTCAACTAATGAGTGGTATTACAATAACCTTTATGAGTGGTATTACAAATATTATGATAACCCTAATGATTGGTATTACAATAATCATAACAAATGGTATTATAATAACCCTAAGGAGTGGTATTACAATAACCCTAGTGATTGATATTATAATAATCCTAATGAGTGGTATTATAATAACACTAATGAATGATATTACAATAACCCTAATGAATGGTATTAAAATAACCCTAATGAATGGTATTAAAATAACACTAATGAATGGTATTAAAATAACCCTAATGAATGGTATTACACTAACCCTAATAAATGGTATTACAATAACACTAATGAATGGTATTATAATAACCCTAATGAATGGTATTACAATTACCCTAATAAATGGTATTACACTAACCCTAGTGATTGGTATTACAATAACCCTATTGAATGGTATTACAATAACCCTAATGAATGGTATTATAATAACCCTAATGAATTGTAGTACACTAACTCTAATGAATGGAATTACAATGAACGAACAAAACAAACAAATCTAGAAGTATTAAAAATGAGGAATCTCATGGTAAGGTGAATAAATACGTAGATGAAACAAGGAGAAAACTTAATATCCACATAAACAACATCCCTTCTTGTTACTTTCTCAAGAAAACAACAACTATAAAACAAAGATCAAGGAAGCACTATTAATAACAAATAAAAAAAAACAACTTATAAAGAGATATCCTGGTTTTTCCCACTATATTTATTCATCAGTGACATTTCAGCCACTTCATTACTTTTGTTTTTTTCTTGCTTTTAATCTTCCGATATAGTCATTTTAGTTTAAAATCTATAAGAGTTCATCTATTTCTACATAATTCATGGTCAGACACTGAAAAGAATTTAGTTAAATACCTTAATATATTCAAGCTCAAAAATTTATGAGTGAACCATAAATCTTTTCCCCTTATTTTTTTTTTCAAACAACTGATTTGTGAAACAAATTGAGAATGGTTACTGTAATACCACTCCCTAGGGTTATTGTAATACCATATGTTATAATTATTGTAATTCCATTCATTAGAGTTAGTGTAATACAATTCATTAGGGTTATTGTAATACCAATCAATCATTAGGGTTATTGTAATACCATATGTTATAATTATTGTAATTCCATTCATTAGAGTTAGTGTAATACCATATGTTATAATTAATAAAACGGTCTTCATTGATATATTAGTACCACAGTGTACTTTACAAATTAGCAGCATGTAATATTACAAGTGAAGATAAAGTCTTCATTGATATATTAGTACCACAGTGTACTTTACAAATTAGCAGCATGTAATAAAACGGTCTTCATTGATATATTAGTACCACAGTGTACTTTACAAATTAGCAGCATGTAATATTACAAGTGAAGATAAATCATGATTCTTAACCACATTCGACCAGCATTTGTAGGTTTGCCGATATTTGTGTAGGGAACATTTTCTAAAGTGCTGTTTTTTTTTGTAAATAATGTCATTTTGTCTTGTATGTTTGTAAAGAAGATACCTTCTATTCTGTAGATATGGAGGTTAGAAAATCCAGGGGGAACTGTAACTCTGGACTTGCCAGTGTTTAGTCTTTCTCCACAGGAGTACATCACCCAGGTACTCAAAATATTATCCAATGCTGATTTTGTTGTTGTTGAAAAACAATATTAATTTTAATGGCTAACTAACATCATTTGCATGTATTAAAACATACGTATTATTTGAACAAATTTGTTAATTAAAATATAGAGTACATGGGAAAGAAATCATTTTATAAGTTTCTAAAATCTAACTCAACTCTTACAATGAAATGATTCAATTTGTAACTAATGTTAAGGAAAATTCTATGTACTAACTTTGTTATTTTAACTTATTTTGCTGAAAAGTAACTTTAAATAAGTAGTTCAGTATAGTCTATATATGTATCTATGCTTTCTCAGGTGGCTGGTAGATTCATGTTCCTTATTGGTCATCTAACTTCCATTTATAAAGTATTTTTAGATTTCAAAACAAATATTTTGTTTGATTAAACTATTCCTTCTTAATGGCTAGCATTAATTTTAAAATATTTAACTGTATTCAATAAATGCTTACTTCTTATTGAATACATAAATCATTTTCGTCTCTAGACAGGGTAAATTTTATTTTCTCTTTGAAAACTTGAATATTTGCAATATTTGACAAATACTTACTCTTTATTGGACATTTTTCATTTAAGACAAAATTGATTTAATAATTAGATTGGACAGTATTTGATGACTTTACCTCAACATATTGAGCCCTTTGCTTTAGAAGAAAATCCAGCTCTTCATACTGCTTTAAAACATGGAAAACTACCGTACACTTCTGAACATGGTAAGCAAGTGCCTTTTTCAATTTGTGTTATAGGGGAACTAGTGAACACTTTTCAGGTGTCCAGGGCACAAAATTGAAATAATAACAGTAATCCTGATTATTAACTCAAAAGCATTTTAAAATTAATGGTTTTTCTTTTTGTAAAATTTAATTAGTGTCATTTGCAAAGAAAATAAGTTCAAACTTGTATATCTGTGCCACTCCAAGGAAAGTCTAGCCTGTAAGCAAGGAACGTATAATATTTTTTAGAATTTTTCTGTCCATCCCAAAGCATCTATCTATCTATATATAATAGCCAAATGGCTGTCTGTATCTCCTAAATAGTTAATCATAGAAAAATATATATATATATCAAAATGCTTTTTTTCAAGACTACATTACAGGAGAGTTATTCATTTTTGCAATCCCTAAAATTTCAGCATTGATCCATCAGTCTTCGTATGTGCTGAACAGTTAATCTGAGAGAGAGAAACTTGTTAAGAACAAAATTTTCTTTTTTTGTGAGGGAATTTCATGAAAAAAATGGGGGTGTGGTTGCCCTTGTTGAAGTGTTCAGACCCCATTCCCCTATTCGATCACTTCATCTGGCTGTAAACAATCCACGCAATGAAAATTTAGAAAATGTATTGTGATTGGGTGAACATGTGTCAAAAGCAACCTTTTGTCCTATAGGAAGCTTTGTTAGTTGTCGCCAGAGGCAATGAAAGACGTGTGCTGAGTCAGGACAAGTCAATAGACTGAGCAGAGTATTTTTAAAAAAATAATCTGCTCAATGTTGAATGTTTTATGAGCCATCTGTTGCTAATAATATTAAAATTTGACCTTACAGAACATTTAACCATTGTATACCACATTATTTCATCTCGTACACTGGCCATTTAACTACAAGATTGCATTTAAACGTGGCTCTTCATTTTTTATTTTGCTTACTTGATCCAACTATGGTAAACATTCTCAATTCTTTCAAATTGTTATGTAAATATTGATCTAGACAACCTTAATTACAACATCTCCTCAATTTAGCTGTTATTCATTTGATTAAAAACGATTTCAGTCCTGATTTAGCTCCGGGAATTTGTTGGATTTGTGGGAAATAACAGGATGATTTTTATATGCTCCAATGATACTTGGTGTGCCATTTTTTTAAGAAGTTGGGGGAGGGGCATACTACAGGACCGTGCCTCACTAAATAGACACTAATTGTAATCTATACTAATACCACATGTAAACCAGTGAATTTCACAAATGTTTTATTATATATAGAACTGCATCAATTTGTCCAGAGGAGACCTCCATTTTACCAAAACATTTCCGAGGGGGGGGGACCGTCCAGACCCCCTGAGAGGGGGGACCCCACACCTGGCAAATCTGCTGTATCTTTTTCCTTTTTTTTTTCTGTAACCCTCTCTCATCCCTAGATATCCCATTGTGTAGCTTTGTGCTTAACAACAAATAAACAAATCAATCAATAAAGGAAGCTTTTTTCTATGTTTTTTGAAAACAATGTTTCACAACGTTAAAAATATAACAGAAAAGTAAATCAAATTATATTAGCTCTTTATGCCAAAACTAGTTAGTATTTATTAAGTTTGTATGAAGTTTCATGCAAAGTAGTTTTCCACTGTAAGGAGAAAAAGAAATCAAATGATATCAATGGCACACCCCTCTGATCCTGAAATGTGAAAGAAAAATCACAAACGAAAATTTATCTGTAACATAAACTTTAGCTTATATATATATACATATATATATATATATATATATATGTATGGTATAAGAACAATACAGATAACCATTTTTCAAATATTTTCACACACAAAAAAAAGTTTTAGCTAAAATTGTGTGATGGAATTATAGAAGTCTGTTGTCAAAATGAATTATGGAATACAGAAATGAAATCTGTGAAGACTGATTTTTAATTTAAAATTGTCTAGCTCCAGTTCATGCTGTTAGTTAAACTACGGAGCTTGTTTTTGTGAAAAGGCGGGTTTTATACTGTCATTTCCTATAGTTCTTTTTAAAGGTTGATGCAACTTTAACTAAAAATACCTTCTTTTTATTACAAACCATTTACCTGTTTACATGTTGTAAGATGCATTAGTAAAAAAAAGATTATTAAATCATTATACAGATACTGTAGAACACGTGGCTGATTATCTAGTTGGTTGTTTGGCAAGGGGAACTATGGAAATGTACGTGGAGAAAATACTAGAAGTGTCTTATCTCACTCCACATGCTATTCAGCAACTTATTATTGATATTGGTGAGTAACGTTTACGGTGCACAAATTAGCTGAAACATTGTAAAAATACTATGAACAAAAATATCAAAGTTTGTATTATATATATTTCATGTGTATTTAAGTGATTTGTTAAAGTTTGTATTATATATTTCATGTGTATTTAAGTGATTTGTTAAAGTTTGTATTATATATTTCATGTGTATTTAAGAGATTTATTAAAGTTTGTATTATATATTTCATGTGTATTTAAGTGATTTGTTAAAGTTTGTATTATATATTTCATGTGTATTTAAGTGATTTGTTAAAGTTTGTATTATATATTTCATGTTTATTTAAGAGATTTGTTAAAGTTTGTATTATATATATTTCATGTGTATTTAAGTGATTTGTTAAAGTTTGTATTATATATTTCATGTGTATTTAAGAGATTGGTTTGGCTTGCAATGTGGTTAATAACCTAGGACTTTCATTAGCTTACCAGTAACATTCCCTACAGATTACCAGACTGCTGTAGTTGAGGATCTAGTTCTTTAAGAGACTTACCGGTAACTTGACAGTGTATTTGTATCATTCCCTACAGATTACCAGACTGCTGTAGTTGAGGATCTAGTTCTTTAAGAGACTTACCAGTAGCTTGACAGTGTATTTGTATCATTCCCTACAGATTACCAGACTGCTGTAGTTGAGGATCTAGTTCTTTAAGAGACTTACCAGTAATTTGACAGTGTATTTGTACCATTCCCTACAGATTACCAGACTGCTGTAGTTGGAGGATCTAGTTCTTTAAGAGACTTACCAGTAACTTGACAGTGTATTTGTATCATTCCCTACAGATTACCAGACTGCTGTAGTCAAAGATCTAGTTCTTTAAGAGACTTACCAGTAACTTGACAGTGTATTTGTATCATTCCCTACAGATTACCAGACTGCTGTAGTTGAGGATT